TCAGAACAATCTAATTTCCTTTTAAGACAGAGAGACCTTTGTCAAAAACGTTTATTAAGTGTCTGTCTGCACACAGTCAGGAGGAATCCATTGGAGGTGGAGGTCCTTATGTTCAGCTGTGAAGCATCAGATTTAATATGTGTCTTGACTTCAACCAAAACCTGATTTTGCTTCTGTGATAATTTCTTTTCACAGGCCAGGCCAAGCAAATATGAAATCCTTACAGCAGAAGGTAGTAGCAAAATTGTTACCAAGTTAAGCTCAGAATAATTACCAAAGCCTTTAATTGAAAAAAAAAAAAAAACTTTTACGATAAAGGATATTTGCTCAGGTTAAATGAGGTTAAATTTTCAGGGCCCTGCCTCATAACATCTGACCAAGTCCCAGAAAACAGAATTGTGCTCAGGTGAGCAAGTGAGTGTTTTAGGTTCATGTGGAATGGTTACCAAACACCCTCTTTTGAGAGAGGGTTCAAATGAAATCCTGAAAGTGAAACGTTTGATACTGATTCACACACAAACATCCTTGTGAAAATTGCAGACTAACTAAAATGGCTTTTTAGGGATCAAAAAGTCACGTGCACCTTCCCTGATACCACTGCCAGGTATTATAAACTTGACTTTTATGGAGACAATATTTCAGGTCAAGTTGACACGAACCCCTCCTATCACCCAGTCATACAGACCCTGCAGATGTGTGAATTGAATACAAAGCAGCTGGAAGATTTCACAACAATTAACACAAAAACCTAAAGGTGAAATCCAGGGAGATGAGCCCATTGGATGTAGTGAAGGATAACTCTGTCCCAACTGTAGGGATGCCACAGGCTACCAAGGAGCAGTCTTGCAAGCCCACAGGGGAGAGGTCTACATCCAAGAAGTCAGCTGCAGTCCAGGGACCTGGCCCTAGCAGTAGCATACTGCACTATAAAGACCCTGAAGAGCAAGATAGGACCCAACCCAGAGAGACTGGAGCTTGGTGAATGTTGAAAAAAATGCCTCACATCTGTCCACAGGGGATAAGGCAGTGGCAGCCTGGACATGGGGTGGAGCACTGACGGTAGAGAGGCAAATGGGATTAAACATTGCTCCATGTATCCAGTGTTTGTTAAGAATGTATTTGTGGCTACGTAATATCCTAGGTGATGGGATACAGCATGAACAAGATAGACACTAGCTTTGCCCTTAGGGAGCTTATGGTTTCCAGAGAATTTAGATATTGATGAACCTGATGGGTCATTATATTTCTGGACCTGCAGAGAAAGTCACAGAGTTCGGGGAATAACTGAACCAAAAGGAACAAGGATTAAGTAGGGGCAGGGATTAGTACTGACGAATCCCAGATGTCTGGAGCAGAGACCTGTAGGACAGAGAGTCCAGAAAATAGCTTTACAATACATTTTAGTTCTGTGATTCATTATCGCCTTAAGGAGGGCAAAATGCATTTGAATGTTTGCCAGATTCAGTGATTTCAGGAAAGTCCTTGTCCTCCATATCTACTGGGAGAATTTAGCACAATGGACCACAGCCTCCTTCTTGCCCATTCTCCTCTCTTGGTCTTGGAGACACCTCCACATCTGTCTCTCACTTTACTGGCTCTTTCTTCTTCATCTCCTTTGCTGGATCCCTCTCAACTGCCCAACCCATCAATGTTGGAATGGCCAGGTCTTTGTCTTGGGCACTTGTCACTCCTAATTGCTGTCCTCCAGGAACCTCATCCAGTCTAAGACTTGTGTCGCCTTTGGCCAGTGACATCCAACCTGTTCCTCCAGTGCTGACCCTTCTGAAAATACCAGCCCTCCCACTTGTCCTAACAGGCACCACAGACTTGAATGTCCAGCCCCCACATCTGTTCCTCTGTGTTTCTTGCATTTCAGTTCCTTCAGTTACTGGACCAAGATCTAGGGGTTACCCTGATTCCTCCCTCTCCTGTGACTTCCACATCCAGTTCATCCCAAGTCCTGTCACTTCTTTCTCTAAAACACATTTGATCTCTTAATCTCCATTGCTATTAACCTGGCTCAGTCTGCATTATCATAGGAGCTTCCTCACTGATTCAATTCCTCCACATCTTCCCCTTAATACCCACTCTGTGCCCATCAGCCAGAGGAATCCCATTTAAACATTAATCAGACTATGTTACTCTCTGATTTTAAAAGTGATAATAGCTTGCTGGGTGCATTTAGCATAAAGTCCAAATTCTTTACATTGGCTTAAGCACCCTACCTGTTCTCTCCATTCCCCCACCCCCTTTCTCACTAGTCACACACAGTCTTCTTTCTGTTTTTCAGACACCTTAGTCCAGACTTGAGGCCTTGGCATTTGCAATTCCCTCTGCTTGGAGTGCTCTTCTCCATTTTTTTTTTTTTTGAGACGGAGTTTTGCTCTTATTGCCCAGGCTGGAGTGCAATGGCACGATCTCAGCTCACAGCAACCCCCGCCTACCAGGTTCAAGTGATTCTCCTGCCTCAGCCTCCCAAGTAGCTGGGGTTACAGGTACCTACCACCATGCCCAGCTCATTTTGGTATTTTTAGTAGGGACAAAGTTTTACTGTGTTGACCAGGCTGGTCTTGAACTCCTGACCTCAGGTGATCCACCTGCCTCAACCTCCCAAAGTGCTGAGATTACAGGTGTGAGCCACATGCCCAGACTCTTCTCCAACTTTTACATGACCCACTCTACATTAACATTCAGATCTGTCTAAATGTTTCTCCAGCGTGGCTTCCCTGGCCACTAGACCAGTAATGCAGTTACTCTTTATCATATAATCTTTTAAATGTCTGTATGTTGCTTACTAATGCTGATATTGTTATTACTATTATTTACATACTCATTTATTTTTGGTTTGTCTTCATCCTTTACAATGTAAACTCTAAGAGAGCAGAGATATTGTATCCACAGAGCCTGGAACAATCCCAGTTATATATATTGTAGGAGTCCAGTCAGTCTGTGAAATAGAATATCTGAATACCCAAAAGCTAATATTACACCAACCTGTCATGAGTAAGTGTATCAGTCAGGTACTGCTGTTTGTAGTAAGTGACCCCAAAACTCGGTAACTTAAAACAACAGGCATTTATTATTGCTCACCAGCCTTTGGGTCAGTTCCACTGACTTGGGCCAGGTTTGGCTGATTTGGGCTTGGCTAGCTTGTGCATCTGTGGTCAGCTGGCAGGGTGGCTGAGTGCTGCTTGGTCTAGGAAGGCTTCACTCATATGTCAGGCAGCTCTTTGACAAACAGTGATGGTGACAGGGTGACTGGGCCATGGTCTGTCATCCAGTAGTGTGAATTTGTGTGCTTGGTAATCATGGGGTCTGAGAGAGAAGGCAGAAGTGCCAAAACCTGTTGAGGCTGAGGCTCAGGGCTGGCACATCACTGCTTATACCATATTCTGTTGGTCAAAGTGGGTCCCAAGGCAGGCTCAGATGTAAGGGATGGGGAAATAGACTCCACTTATTGGTGGGAGTGAATGTGAAGTCACATTGCAAAGATGTGGCCTCAGGAAGGGGCAAAGGGCTGAGGGTATTTTTGTAATCAATCAACCATATTAAGGATGGCAATCAAAGTGGTCACTTTTCATTGCCACATTCTTCGTCCCAGACAAAGCCATAAAGGACATGTACAGGCTCAGAAGTGCCTCCTCCTTGGAGGAAAAGCGCTGACCGCAAGGTACAGTGTGTTCTTGGTTGCACAGCTGTGGTGGCTAGGGAATCGGGGACTTGGTCCCTATGCACCACTGCCAGAGAATGGTGTGAACTCATCTGTGGCCAATGAAAGTCACAGAGTCCCCAGTCCATCCTGATTCTCAGCCCCTCGCTAGAAGCCTGCACATAACTGAACATACGTATGTGTGTGTGTAGGGTGGGGTCTAACACAGGTGCTAATGCCTCCATTAAGCAACCTCCAGAGAAGGCAGCAAACACCAGGCCTTCTTTTAGCACCGGATGGCTCCCATTTTGCAAGCATCTGGTAGAAAACAAGGAGAAGCCAAAGTCCCAAAGTTCTCTCCCTTCCTCCCTCCCTCCTCCCAACCTCTCTCTCTCTCTCTCTCTCTCTCTCGCTCTCTTTCTCTTAGAATTGGGGTCTCACTCTGTTGCCCAGGCTGGAGTGCAATGGCACTATCATGGCCCACTGCAGGCACAACCTTTCCTGGGCTCGAGTGATCCTTCCACCTCAGCATCCCGACTATCTGGGACTAAAGGTGTGCACTACTACACCCAGCTAATTTTTTATCTGTCTCTTCTTTGAATAGAACTCAAGTGACTCAGAATGCAAAGACCTTGACACAGACCTTTTAAGGGAACTCCTTAAAAAGTGAAGAAACCAACATGCTCAGCCTTGTCCTTGCCTTCTGTGCATAGCAGTGCATTCACTGCCTGAGAATTCAAGGCCGAAACAAAAAGAGGAGCTTTTGTCCCAACAGATAAGTTCTTACCTTTTTCAAAAAAGGCATAAGTTGTCCTGGGTGTTTAAAGTTATTCACACAGCTTTCCAAAGACTCATAGCATTTAAAAGCTAACCCTACTACAGAGATTCAACAACTTCTTCCAGGTCCGAACAACAGTGGAATATAACTCCAGTGCCCTGGCTCCTTGTCCAGCTCTTCTCTCTCTCCCCTTTCCAGCCACCAGTTCAGTTTTAAGAATTTCATTCTCCACACTCAGATGCAGGCAAATGCGTTTGACTTGACCATATTGATTTCAGGCAGGTGAGAGTGGATGTAGCGATTCAGCTTGACAAATATTTAGATCAGTTAAGTGTCCTTTAGAATCACTTGAACTCAATGTTTCCTTTCCCCGACCATCTCACTCAGCAACCTACCTCTCCAGCATAAAATATTCAAATTCTTTCTAAATTTCATCTACTGAAAAAATACTTCTAGGCCCTGGCTACATGATATCTCCACTGGGAGCCCTGTCCTTTCCTTGCCCTGAGAAACCCAGAGCTAAAGCAGATTTAAATGACTCAGCAGTAGGACTCAGGTCTTGTCTCTGCCTGCTTACTTAGGGAGTGCTCCAGCCTTTGGGCTGTCTTGCACTCCAACATAGGAAGGAAATCATCGACGGCTTCATTCCCTGGCGTTTGAGACTTTTCTTCCCACAGACACATTCCTGAGGACATCAGTCATGGGTAAAGAACTCCACTGGGGTCAGAGTTGGATCCCACTAGGCAGATTAGGACTTGGAAGTGGAGTGGTACAGACTTGGTGTTCCCAGAGCCTCTCACTCGTGATTCATGGCTCTCCACCCCAAGCATCGGGACTTGCTCAACTTCACCACAGAAGGAAACAGACTGTAAGCTTGGAGGGCCGGGGAGGAAACTGGAGGCACGTGTAGGAGGAAGAGAGATACTGATGGTAAGTTTCGCCTGTCATCCTCTTGAGCTGGGGGTGCATAGAGTCCAATAAGACCCCATGTGAGTACGTCAGATGACAAAGCTCAGGTTGGATGGGTGTGTGGAGTAAAGGCTTTGCATCACATTTACCAGGGTGAGGGAAGGCTATTACAGATAGCACAGGGCACCTTGATGATGGGGTGAGGGAGCCTATGTGGATGTAGTAGTCGCCAACCGCTCCCTACTTCTCTACATGGGAGAAAGTCCTTCTCTGTAATCATGGAAGCTCATGTTCTTGACGGTGGCCAGGTTAGGAACCTCTGATTACTAGGACAGAGCAGAGTAGCAGGACTGGTAGATCAGATATCTCATGACACCCTTAAAAAGGGACTAGAATATCTGGGACTCCTCTGGTGTAACTAAATGATCTTCAAGCTTTACCAGCAGGTAAGCAAGGTCCCATTGTATTTGGTACTCACATCTCCACCAATTCTGTAAAACTTTGCCAAGTTTCCCTTACATCCCTTGCACCTCTTCAAAAGATATTCCTAAGAGTTCCCAAGAGGCATGTAACATAGACCTGCATACCGGCCCAGTCTTCTGGGCTGAGCTGCTGCACTGTTGCTCAGCCTTGATGGCTGAACTTGATCTCTGTTGCGGCACCCACCACTCTTTCTCAAGCCTTGACACCTTGGCAGGCTTTGGCAAAAAGAGGAGAGCTCTTCTTCCTTGGCATTGTGTTCACTTAGTGGGGGTCCCACAGTAGGGTTTCTTGGACCCCAGGGTATCATAGGGCTTAATAGGACCAGCCCTTGCATCTCACACATTCTATCCTTTCTCTCACTGGTACACACATGTCTGACATCTGAGTGGGGAGTGCTCAAATATCTGCCACCAGCTTGAGTCAGAACCATTGACTTCCCTGAGCTTTTCAGGGCCTATTACCGAGTCTGGTCCACACACTCCAGGGTCTTTTCCTCATGGTCTGGTCTTTCTCAGGTGCCTGCCTTTCCTCCATGCAAACTGCCTCCCCTTCTCCCTTCCTTCCTGCTCTGTCAGAGGCATCATGTCTGGGTGCATATTTGAACCCCATCAGTACACAGAAATCATGTATTTCCTTGAGGGCCCCTCAGACCCCAAGTACAAACATTGAAATACCAGCAGGGATGGGGGTTCTGCCTCGCTTCGTCTGCCAGCCATGTGCAGACCTTGCTCCAGTCCAACTGACACTTTAGCGAGTGCTTCATTCTGGTTTGTGAATGGCTTCCCAGTGTCTGTCACTGTGTTCACAGGGCCACCGAGGTTGGCTCAGTTGGAATACCAGCCATGTGGCATGTCTCATGGGGCAAGAGCTGTGCCGCCCATGGGAGCCCAGAGGAGCATACTGAGGACCAACACCAGGGAGACCTTGCCCGAACACGAGTCTAAAGAAGATGACCAAAAAAGGGGTGCAGATCTAGTAGTTTACAAGTGGTGCCAAGATAAGGTCAGATTCTGAGCATGTTTAAATCAAGTAAATGATGTTTGAGGGTGGTTGTCCTAACTACCTGCGGTTGTCCACTACTCGCCTGTATAGGCCAGACTGCGTGTGCCAAGCAGATGGACCAGGCTGGCTTGAAGGACCAGGGCAGGTATTACATGTCCTAGACAGGTGTTATACAGTGGTTAAAGCTCCTCCTTGTGTTTAAAGGATTATTTACAAAACATATAAAGACCCAAAGACTTTAATTCCTTTGTGATGTTGGGATTAAAATCTCAACTAACAATAGTCTAACTGGATTGGAAATGGGGAATTTTCTATGGAATTTGGTTCTTTTGAATTCCAGCTGCATGCACAGTAGAATTTTTTTCCCCCTATAAGTGAGAGTATATGGCAATCTGGGCATTCTCTTATTAAAGTAAAGATAATAGTAAACTCAATTTTTTTTTTCGTGAGAGGATTGTTTTATATTCTGCCTTTCCTGGTGTTGTTCATTGGGGCTTCTAATACAAATGTAGTATCACCCTTAGCTCTTCTCATAATACCTGTTGTATGTGATGATGTGGGTGCTTAGGGGAACAGGATGGAGAATCTCTTGTATTTCAGGGGATGCAGGCATGAGTGGATGGCCCAAGGTCAAATAAGGAGCTGAAGTTCATTATCTCTGTTTCCAGCTCTGCCAATGAGCAGTATCATCACAACTAACCAATCAATCAATTATTCAGTCATTTAATGAGAAGCTACTGCATACCCATCCCTTTCCTTGGCCTTCAGGACAATTAGACATGGTGCCTGTCTTCAGATTGCTCACACACTAGTTGGAGACACAAAAGTTACAGCAATAAAGCAACAATCCCTAAGTGCTCAACAGCTCACCAAGCCTGAATGGAGAGGAGGAGACCTTGGTGTGGCCTGGAATGAAAGAGCAGCTTTAGGAAGGAGTGGCATAAAAGAGAGAACTTAATGTAGCAGTTTTTCTTCCTCTACGCACAAATGGTATTACATGTGTTACCGGCCAGTGTTGGGTACCAGTGGCACTGATGTGGTCACTAAGGGGCCCTTGGTGCTAGAGCTGGGACAAGGGCGGGGAAGCAAGATGTCTAGGGCCTTGCATGACTTCAAGAATGAGCGCCTCCTTAAATGATGTGCCTAGTCTTCCTTCCTGGCCTCCACCTGGTCCCCGTATGCTTTCTCTGCCTCTCTCTACTTCATTCTCTAGCTCCATCTTCTTTTTATTAGTGCTATTTTTTCCTCCCTCCTGGTTGTTTTTCTTATTCTTTCTCTTCTTTTTTTCTTTTCCTTTTTACCAGTCTACTACTAATACTCTTCCAGTGCCCCTCAGTGATCCATTCCAAACACTGCTGGATTCTTATGTAGACTGATGATATAGGTCATAAGGTGGATGTAAACAATGTCTGTGACCTGCCTTAGCATTGCTATTTTTAATCCTGTGATAACAATAATACTGATACATATTACAAGTGACGTCTTTGGGTCTAGTTTCTGAGAAAACCCAAGTTCTTTTTATGTAACAACACCTGTGTAAAGGAATGAGATGACTTAAGTTACATAGAAATTAACTGCAACAAGACAAGATTAATACATTTGATATTCTTGGCCAAATAATGCTTCTAAGCATCTTCCCTTCAGAGCATAAGCTCCTTGCTCATCGTACCCTCCATGGACCCCTCTCCACTGGATCTCCAGCACCTAGAATAGAGCTGGGTATACATGAGGTGCTTAATACATAATTGTCAAACTGAATGTAGAGTTTTAGGAGTTTAAAGAGAGTTTTTAAATAGGGAGAAGTGGAGACACAATCTCAGGAATGAGATGAAATTATTTAACCAATTGGAGATGAAGTTCGAAATGGAAACTACGACATGACTCAACATCTTCAAGTTCTGAAGTAATAATTAGCACATAAAGTTGATCTGTTATGGACTTCTTGTTGTGTTCCCCCCAAAACTGATATGTTGAAATCCTGACCTCCAGTGTGATGGCATTGGGAGGTGGAGACTTTTGGAGGTTATTAGGTCACAAGATTGGAGCCCTCATGAATGGGATTAGTGCCTACGTAGGAAGAGTCAGGAGAGCTCTTGATTCCTTTTTCTATTCTCTGCTTTGTGAGGATACAGAGAGAAGGCAGCTGTCTGCAAACCGGAAAGATGGTTCTCACCATATTTCATATCTGCCAATGGACCCTTGCTGTTGAACCTCCCAATCTTCAGAATCATGAGAAATAAACATTGTGAAAGCCACCTAGTCTACAGTAATTTGTTCTAGCAGCCCGAGCTGACTAAGATACGGTGTCATTGCATAACCACTTTTAACCTTAATCTTTCTATCTGTAAAGTAAATGGGTTAGAGAAATCATTCCAGAAAATGTTTCTGCTTAAAAAAAATTCTTCTGATTCCTTTCCAATGTGAAGTTTGGGTGGCCCTGTTGTAAATGACTCCATTTGATTTTGATTTTGAATTTATTCTCTTTCTTCCCACTTTCATCTCAGGTACTTAGTGCCTGTATGTGCTTTTGATCACAGCCTCAGAAAATAGAACAGTGTGTGGCATTGCAAGGTGGGGCCTTTGCTTAGGAGCTTTGAAAACAGAAGTAATTTTCTTGTACACATGTTGACAGTTTAAGCCTAAGTTCTTTAAGTTTTAGTCTGTATTATTATTGGTTTCAAACATTTAATGTATGGATTATTCCTTTGGTTCCTGCATTCCTGCTTTCATAGCCATATTGACTTGTTAAATAATGAAAATTAGCTGAGCAGTGGCCTTAGAATGAGAGTCTTCAAGGGCTAAAATGTGTAGAGTTTGATCACATCCCCACCCTGCTTTCTTGTGGGATCCTCAGGGTAAGGTAGCTGGCATTTGGTTGACATGGTCCAGGTGTTGAATAGATGTCCATGCTTTCCTTTTCTTCAAGAATGAGGAAGCCACCTTCAGATGCTAAAGTCAGATTCTATATAAATAGCTGAGATATTACATCTGAGCAACCTTGGAGGAATAGTATTCATCCTACCTTTAGTTTTCTGCTAATGTTATTCAACATTCTTTTCCCACTTTTCCCACTTTGGTCTCTTTCTTCTTCTCCCTTTTGGCAGTTGCATTGGCTTTCTTTTCTAATCTAGAAATGATGATAGGGATGGTGGCAGCAAACACCAGAGAAGAGTCAGCGGCAGTGGGAGGAGGGGAGGGGGAGGCTATACTTTGACAAGGAATAAAACAGAAGCCTAACTGTGAGGCCATCAATTCACCCCCTGAGTGTGAGCAGCAGATGATTGCTTGAGATTATCTGGGAAGACATTCACCTTTTAGAGCGGGGTTGCAAACTGGCAGACCAGCAGTGAAATTTAGCCGCAAACATAATCATTTAGCCAGCAAAGTGTTTGGAATATATTTTACAAAGATCCACAGGTCTTACTACTCCTAATGTCTTGTTCTGGATACTACACACACTCATACATACTTCCTGTCCCTTTGTGGGGAGTTTTCTTTTACAATCTAGAGTCTGATCTCAGATAAAACCTCTTCTCCCACCAAAAGAAGATCCACGCCAACTCATCATCAGCTCACTTTTTCTCCATCTTTAGTTTGGGTCATATCAAAAAATTTGATAACTGGCTGGGTGTGGTGGCTCACGCCTGTAATCTCAGCATTTTGGGAGGCCAAGCCGGGTGGATCACCTGAGGTCCGGAGTTCAAGACCAGCCTGGCCAACAAGGTGAAACCCTGTCTTTATTAAAACAACAACAACAACAACAACAACAAACCCAAAAATTTGATAACCATGGCTGTATATAGTAACTGCAAAAAATAATATCCAGATTCACTATTAGAAATCAGCTCCATGTTTTAGAGCCTCTCCTTCAATGTTTGTCTGCCGTGCTAGACATGTGACAAGCCAAACTCTCTTTGTGTTGGTCTTCACTGTGCTGAGCTCTGTTGGAAGCCTCTGGGAGCTCAGTGTGCAAAGGAGATAAGCCAGAAGCATGACGCTTGTTTAATGGCTCTCTCTGCAGTGTCCTTGTATTCTCAGCTCCTTTTTTCTTACCCATTTCCTTGGCCTTTTATCATAAATTCCCTGTGTTGTATACCACTCTTGGCAGAATTGCCCACTGTATTCCTTCATTAGCTTGGCTTTATAAGGGAAAGGATGCTAGGTGTCTTAGTCTCTTTGGGCTACTATAAAAATACCTTAGACTATGTCATTTATAAACAGAAATTTCTTGCTCACAGTTCTGCAGGCTGGGAAGCCCCAAGATCAAAGCATGAACAGATTTGGTGTATGGTGAGGGCTCATTCTCTACTTCACAGACGGCATCTTCTTGCTGTGTCTTCACATGGCAAAAGGGGCAAACAAGCTCCCTCAGGCTTCTTTTACAAAGTTACTTAATACCACTCATGGTTAGTCCTTGTGACCTAACCATCTCCTAAAAGTCCCTACCTCTTAACACTACTGTACAGAGGATTCGTTTTTAAGATATGAATTTTGGAGGGACACAAACATTCACTCCACAGTACCAGGGTACTATTTGATGTTTTCTCTTTGCCAGCATTTTGATACTCGCATATACTGAACCATCACTTTTCTTTCTTTCCTTCTTTCTTTCTTTCTTTCTTTCTTTCTTTCTTTCTTTCTTTCTTTCTTTCTTTCTTTCTTTCTTTCT